ATAATAAGTTGGCAACCTGATGTCCAATCACCCTGAATACTTCAGTGTATAATTCCTAGAAAACAAGAATGTTCTGCAAATCACAATACAACCATCAAAATCAAAGAAGTAACAGTAATGCCTGAACACCAATTATTCCACAGACCCCTTTTTAAGTTTTGCCAACTATCCCAATATAGTGCCCTTCATAATAAAAATTCAAAACAGTAATATTTTACAAAGAAATATCTACTTTGTTATGTGCTAGGTTTTGTTTTCCTTCTTCATATCCTAAAGTAAATACAGCAAGCATAAACATTAAGTGCTCAATAAATTTTAGCCAGATTTGAAAAGATATAAATTAGTACTACCTAAAATTGGTTAAGAGAAAAAGAAAAGGGAGTTGAAGAGGGTTTACATCATTTTCTTGCAAAACTCAGTTAAAAAATTTAGAAGTGAAAAATAAACAACTTTGTGCCACGCCTACCTTTAAAAAAATACCCAAAGCTTTCACAAATATGCCAGATCTAAAGATTTTCATGTAGAATCTCATTTCATCTTAAAGCAATTATATTTTTAAACTACTACATATAACACACTGGGGTCTATACCAGGTACCAAGGATATAGTTTATATCCTTTGAGAACTGTCTTTCTCTAGGAGAAAGAAAAAGATACTTTTTAAAAAGGAACTGTACTAAAGTACTGGCTCATGTGAATCTGACATCAGCTATAAACTCACTTCCTCAGATAGAAATGCACATCAAATAAATTTTACATGTAAATTTAGGAGAGATCATGTAACTAACGTAGCCCATTTATAGAAACCACAAAGATTCAATTATCCTGCAATAAAACCACATTCTAATACATGACATTCTGTGAAGGAGAAAAAGAGTAAGAAAGAGAGAGAATGTATAGGTGTGTACTAAAAAAGTAGAAAGAGGAATATAAATACTATGAAAGTATGCATATTTGTTTATATTTCAAAAAGAAACAATAAGAGAAAATGAGTCAAATACTGACGGGTTAATCAACAGAAAATGGATACACAGATTTTGGAACATTCAAAGAATGGAATAGTGGTCAGAAATAAAGAAGAATTACTGACATATTCAACACAGATAAATCTCAAAACATCATTTTGAGCAAAGAAGCCAGTTACAAAAGAGCATATACAGCACAATTTCCTAACAATACTTTAAGAAATCATTTACTCAAAGTGATATGAACAAATCTCAAGCTAACAAAAGAATATCTACAAAAAGATGAATACAATAAAAGGAAGAATACAGGATACACAGGGAACATATTGCATGAGGATACAATTCTAATTCAGAAACCAAGGACAACCTCTTTAAGGAAGTGAATATAAACTAATAACTGAAAAATAGGTTAGGTTATCCAGGCAAAAAAGTAAAGTGTATAGTTGGAAAGAAAGCCACTATTAGCACATACAAAAAATCCTGAATAAGAACACTGGTGTGAGTGGTCCTAGGAACTCAAATTCAATATGGCTCAAGCATTCAAAAGGCAAAATTGAAACCTGCAAATCAGATAGAGCAGGAGATTATGGATATCCTAAAGCCATGTGAAGGAGTTTAACCTTCATACAAAGGTTAACTGAAAGCCACTAAGAATTTAAAGAAGGAATGATATGATCAGGTTTGTATCTAAAAACAACTCTCTAAGGACAGCATGGAAAATGGATTGGATTAAGGAAGAACAAAGACAGGGAGGCTTTTTGACTAGGCAATAGATAATGGTGACCTCACTTAGAATAGTAGTAATAAAGATGGGAAAAGGTAAACAGTTTACCAAACATCACCAAAACATTATAAACTACACATTACTGTCATTTTACAGTTAAGGAACCTCAGTCTCCAAAGTATTAATAATTTTCCTTAGCTAAGTAGCTCTTTAAATACCTAGGATCTCATGGTACATCTATCTCATGCAACCTCTATAACAGTAATTTCAAACACTGAAATAAAAAATACAGTGATAAATACCTGTTTATGATGAACAAGCTGCTTTCTGATTTTTCTGGAATATAATCTATCAAGGCTACTGCTACCTTTGGAAGATCTATTTAAGCTCTGAGTATGCAGATTGTTGTTAATAAAACTCCACTGATTACCTATAGGGGAAGGAAAAGTTTTGTTAATAATTCTGTTAAATGTGGTTTTAAAGTACCTTTGATATCCAGAAAACACAAAACACAATTATACATGTGTCAATCATGACAAAGCAGTTTTAAACAAAATTAAGGAAACCATTGTAAAGAAGTTGCTAGAAGATCTCATTCTAGAGAGGTTAGATAACTATCACTGCTCTAATCTAGACCCTAAATGATTTTAAGACCAGAGTTCTGCCTCCAATCTTTCCTTTAGGATAACAGCCATCTTCCTCCACAATTGTTTAAGCTTAATCTTAAACAGAGTTTTGATAACAACATTCAGTTCTAACAACAAATACTCACTATTGCCTATTTCCTCTTGTCTACCACCCATTTATTAAGTCTTAGTTCAAATTCTTCAACCCCTAAAAAACCTCTTCCACCACTGTATTCACAGTATCTAAGCAATATAAATAAAAACTAATACTTCTAATACTGTTACATTCCAAATTTATATTGTAGTTTTATTTATTTTAATTGTGTATCTTACCTCTATATCCTATAACTACAGTAAACTGACCCATAGTATACATTATTTGTTTTTAAAAAGTCAACATAAGGCAAATTCTCTGTATATGACAATTCCCTATCACGTTCGAAAACATAGTATGTAAGCAATTTATTCAGCTATAAAACATGTTAAGGAAGCTTTTTAAAAATACTAGGATCCTGACAATCCATAAAATTCCAAATTTTGTGGCCCTCAATGGCTGTGTTTACAAATTAGATTTAGCTATCTCAAATCCTTTTTAAAAAGCTTTGTTAACGGGAAGAGGGGAAGAAAACAATTGATCTTGCAGTTTGAATTCCGTTAATTTTTAACTTTTTCTGCCGTTAAGCTCATGAAGAAAGATTACAACTCCAAAACATCTGGGCATTTCTGTAGTTAAGCATAAAACCCACTTGCAATTAATTAGTAGACTTGAGAATGGTAAAGGAAATGACATATCATACCAAGAAAAAAATTAAAAGAACTCTTCACAAATTTCCCTTTCATAACTCACTTATATGCATGTTGTTTTAAAATGTTTAAATGAGCATGCAGGCAAAAACTCTGTGAAAGACATAGTTGTATTCAGAAACTAAAAGTCATGTCCAGACAATTGAGCTTGTCTATAAAGTCCATCAAGTATAAATTCTATCTTCAAATATTATAGATTCTCAGTAAGGTTAATTCATATTTTCCATAAGTTACATACAGGTGGTATCTCCAGGCCAATAGCCAGTTCTGGAACAACAGCGGAGTCACTCAAAATCCCCACCAACATATTATTATAAACTTCTGATACCTGTCAGAAACCTCTCCCTGTCTTTACCATTCAAAGGTTTCTTTGCAGCTGCTGCTTCATCTTCAACAGTTGCCACATAATCCAGCAATCTGGACACCAGCATAACCACCCAACTGATCATAGGAATATCTAGTACTCCTATACAGAGACGAGAGAAAAAAAATTCCAGGTGACTGAGTTCTAATGAGTTCTTTGAGTTCTGACACAATAATTGAGATAAAACATTTGATAAATCCAAAACATATATCATTACTAACATTAATATTTACATATAATGAGCTTCAAAATTACGTACCTACAGCCACAAATTGAGTAGAATATCAAATCTAATGAAAGAAAAATGCTTCATGGTACAAAACCAGATTAAGTGTAGGCTGAATCCAAAAAATAATTTATGAACTAGAAAGGCATAAGGTGCTATTCTTAAGACTCACAGATGACTAAAGTAAGACCTCTAACTCTAAACTTACAATTCATATAGTACTAAACCATGTTCTAAAATTTTTATTCCTATAACAATTTCCTTGCTCAAATGAAACTCATTATCATTGACAAGAAAAGCAACTGTGCCTTAAAGCTTAAACTTATATAAGGGAGTTTGATTTTAGTTATGATAGTATAGGAAAAACATACTAAACTAAGTTTAAATAATGAAAAGGCACTAGATTTAATAAGTAGTAACTATATCAAATGAAGGTTGCTCACTCTAAAAAGTCTACATCATAAAAATATTAACAAAATGTGCTGCAATGAATATTAAAAGAAGTATTTCAGAAAAGATATTTTATAAAAGCAATATTTATAAGACTCTTATAAAGAACACTATTTTATATTAATACCTTCTGTCCTTCTATGCATGGGTAACTGTGGCTGAAGAGGTGACAGTAAATTATCCAAGAGGTTAAGTAAGCTTTCTAATACTCCGCTATTACTAAGAGATCTTTGACCAATGCAGGAAAGTAACATGAAGACCCTAAAAAATATATATAAAGAAAATATCCAGTAAGAATCAATTTAACTGTTCAATTTTTTTAAATAATTTACATTGAAATTTAACAAAGTAATGATAAAATTTTTTGTTTCTTAAACATCATCATATTTCAGATTGGGTAAGCAAGAGTTATATCCAAATGTATGATGTTAAAATTAGGTTTTTTTCTAACTATTGGTTATATTAACGTTATCAACAAGAAAATCAGGCACAGTGAAGAAAGAGAACTTTATTTTAGCCTCAAAAAAGTAACATAATCTGATAGGAAATATTTATAAACACAGATCTCTGAACTCTAATTTTTCTTTCAATTAGAAAACTAAAGAACATAGACTAGTTATATCATGAATAATCTTGGTGCCCTTTGTTGGGCATTCCCAAAATGCTAAGAAAAACTGCTTCATTTTTGCCACACTTAGTATCCACATAAATGGGATTTCAAAACCTGACCAGTGACTATGAGAAGCACAAATCATTAATAACAAATACCTCCAATATTTTCTGACCTACCTATCCTGTGGAAAGATGAGAAGCTGCTCTGAATTGTACAATTCCTGAAGAACATTAGAGAGAAACTGACCCCACCATCTTTCACCACCACAGAGTTGAACAAGCAGAAGACCAGTATGTAATCGTATCTTTGGGGTTCCACTGATACACAAATGTTTAAAGAGCTCTTCACAGGCCTGGGCATGAAATGTGCTCTGCAAAACTGCAGGAACAGAGTGTCCTATTATAAGAAAGAAAATAGCAAAATATTCTTTTTAAGTGTATGATGTAATATGAAAATCAGCATGCTTACATAACACTTTCTTCTTTACTAGCAATCAGTAGACAATTATATTCTATTTTATTCTGCTATTTATTTACTTCTCATATGTAGAAATTTGATTATTAAATACTTAAAGAGAAGAAGAGCTAGCACTTAAGTCAATTATGTTTCTTGTCTATGGAGTTGGGTGTCTCAGGGCAGAGAGAGAGAGAGAGAGAGAGAATGCACGCGTGTGTGTGTGTGTGTGTGTGTGTGTGTGTGTGTGTGATGATCAAAAATAGCTACTGGCTAGAAAATGATAGTTCTGTATTAGGCTAGCAATTATGAAGTTTTCACTGTTGAACTTTTAAGCAATACTTACTACTTTGCCAGTAGCACAATGATGTGCACACCAACAGCACAAAATCAAAAAAAAACCCAACAAAAATTTATTTAAGAAATAATAAAAATAAATGGAAAAAAATAGGTGATCTTAGATATTTCATATATATTCACATTAGAAAGGATATCAAAATTAACAATATCCAGAAAATATTAACATGGAACCTAAAACACGCAAAAAACTCGTATCATATATATGCCCGGCCTTTGAAGTACATAAGCCAAATACAAACCATTAGAAGAGTGAAGAAGGCTGAGCAAAGTGTCCAATAAATATCGGATGATAGTACGTAACTGCTCTGTTGAAGACGTCTGAATTAAATCTTCTGGATCCGATGTTTCACTCAACATCTTCCGACTTGTACCTAGAGCTACTTTGAGTCTCTGCACAGCATTATGAGCCAAATTTAGTTGAAGCTGTAGCTGAATACAATCTTGATAAGCAGAAAAAACTCTACTGTCTTCCTCGACTGCCTTGTCTGGTTTTCGTAAAAAGTATTGTGCGTTGTTAGCACTGTTGAGAGGAGGAAGATCGATACTTTGCAAAAGAGTTTCCAGACGATGACAAGCCAAATTGTATCTATAAAAAGATAGAAAAAAAGAATAAACCAAATGCTTCCTGCAATGTTCTCTTGATACACATACAAATACTAAGAATTAAATCTCTAAAACATGTTAACACACAACCATTTTAAAAGAATTACTCAATTGGTAATCACAGTGCTAATAAATGGAGCCAATTAGTCAATATTCTCATCCAGTATTATTGTCCTATTTCCTTTTGCTCTTTTCTGTACACCTACAAAATGACATTTTCTCGACAGAAATATAAGATATATACAAAATACAGTTTCAATAAGATTGTACTTGACAATTTTATACTAACCTGCACTGTATATCCTCCTGCAGAGCAACCATCATTGCTAAATGCTGGTCAATTTCTGGCTGGTTTGCAGATTCCCCTTCTCCCCTTAGAGGATCATGCATTAACTTCAGCTCACTTTCCCAAGGCAAGATATAGGTATGACCATAGTAAAATCCTAATGGGATTTTGGCTCTGGCATTTGTACTTCCATAACGTCCAATGACAGTGATCTGAAATGAAAAATTATAAATATATGTATATACACATCTGCTGTGATAAAAATCTGAGCAATGTATTTAAAAAAATTTAGTTATACTTTTTGATCATATATTATTTTTCATAACTTGTCAGAAACATGGAAAACATATCAAAGTACTTTCTTGAAGTTCTTTACCTTCATGAACCTGCACACAGGTGGTGGTATTAAGTCATGAAGAATTAGTGAATGGGTGCTTATATCAGTTGCCACTACCAATCGCCTTCCATCCACTTCTTCTCCTAATGTCCAAATGTCAATCGATAAGGAGGCCAAGTCTCCACATGTGGGAATTAATACATCTGTCAACAATATAGGTCTGCCAAAATCCAAGGTCACAAATCTCCTTGCCCCTGTGAGAGAGAAACAGATGACAAAAAAATATATTAATTAACCAAACAATACACTCAAGAACAATTTGGATCACTCATCTTAAAAAAATGAACCAACTCACTAAACTACAAATGAGTGGCAAAATAAACAAGTAAATATGGCTTGTCAATTCTCATTCAAAAATTTTCCGAAATCCCAAACTACGATAGCTTTGTCTTTTTTTATATTTAGTTTTTGTCTTTTCAAGTCTATACCTGCAGACAGTCTATGTTAGTTTTGAACTCCAAGACTTAAGTCAAAAATTACAAGAGTAGCTAGGTGTGGTGCTGCACACCTGTAGTTCCAGCTACTTGAGAGGCTAACACAGGAGGATCGCTTGAGCCTGGAGTTCAAGGCTGCACTATGATTGAGCCTGTGAAAGCCACTGCACTCCAGCTGGGCAACAGAGCAAGACCCCCCAAATCTTTAAAAAACAAACAAACAAACAAACAAAGAAAACCACAAAAAAGAGAGTTAAGATTGTTACAATGAAGGTAATCAACTAACTGTACCCACAAGCTTCTTTAAAACATTAGAGTTAAAAAAATTAAATCAGCAAAAGTGGTATGTAAGTTAATTCTGTGAGGTGCCAATCTGATCTTCTTTCAGCTATTGGCCATTTTTTAAAAATTACACAACTAGGTGCATTAAAAATACCAAATTTTATTATTCGACTTTAGTGTTCTTTAGCCTTGCTTAACTTCTTCTGGAGGTGCATATCGCACTGGGGTTAAGATGCAAAGTGAAAGCGTTAACTGAAATCATCTCTAGTAAAACCACCACTGAAAAATTCCTTGGAAGGTCCTCCAATGGAGACAGACATAGCTTATTTCAAAACATGTTCTTCCCCCAGTATGGACACATCACTGTCTCTTTAGCTCAATACCAGATGAAACAGATGAAGATAAAGCAGATTCACCTCTCTCATCACACACATTACAAGGATAAGTTCAACTAGTGAAACAGAAGGGAGATCGTTAATAATATCATCATACTTCTGTTTCTTCTTCATTGCGTTGGGGTGAGGGGCCGCTTACTAGCAACATTTTACAGTGAAGGAAAGCTACTACTAAATTAAACTTCTAGGAATAGTGCTATTCTTGATGGAACTAGTTTAAAAGAAAACAAGGCAGTTACCAATATTTTCCTAAAGAGAAAAATTATCCAACAGCAAACAACATAGTTCTCCTCAGGAGGCTTATGTGCTGTAGTCATTTCCATGGATAAAAATCCAAACTACAGTGTAAACAACTGCTCACATCCCACAAGACTGCAGAATAACAAATGTTCATTCTAAACGTTATAAACACTAATGTTGTTACCAATAAATGATTATTTGGGCAGAAAATACAATAAAACTTCTGTTTTATCTTTCAAACTCCCTCTTCCAAAAAAGAAATACCCCATTGCAAAACCAAAAAATATGGTTTAATTGTTCATATAATGAAAAGTGCTAAAATGTGCATGATATCCGTTACTTCCCTAAGGATTTTTTTGACTTCTGCTGCTCAAGCACAGAACAGTTGGTAGAATTATAAGGTAAAAACTGGCTATAGTTTATTTGTAAACATGTACTAATTGAAAGAACCTATTCCAATCTCATTTATCCAGCATAGAAGCATGAGACAAACTTAGGTAAGATTTAAACTATTCAGAGACCGGTAAGTGTTAATCTTATTCAGTTATTATAACAAACAGTAGTTCTGTCTGCTACTCTCAGGAAACAGTTCCACTATAAGAATGCTAGTTTTAGGAATACTTCTTTGAGTGTAATTTCTAGTGTGATAGTAATTTCAACAACTACAATGAAGGCAGATGTTCATGTACAGATCAAATCCACTATACAACAGCACTTTTCACTCAATTTGGCCAGCATACACAACTTGAACCTTATATAGTGCTTATTCTTGGTAAAATATACTTACCCAAGAGCAAATGTCATTTATTTGCAAAGGAAAATCAAACTGAAGAATAATGAGTCTAAAAAGGGACAGCAGACTAGGAAAGAAAAATATTTTAAGAAAGTCAAAGATTACCTGAATGCATTCGCTCTATAATAATGGACTGGTGGGGTGGAGGTTGAAGAAAATGTGAAGCATGAGAAATTGCAAGGGCTAGACCAGAACCAAGTGGATTCTAGAAAAGAAAAAAGTATAACTCTGTATTGATATTATTCTTGCTCTATAAAAACCACTAACCATAATATCAAATTAATAAGTCTCTTTTTTGGAGTATATTTTGTAATATTTTATAAAACAGAATAATCTAATTTGACATATTGAGTTGGTATGATAAAATTTTGTCTTCTAAAGTTATGGTATACTTCAAAATATTTTTAAACATTTTAAGCCAACATCTATTTAAAACATAATTTACCATTCTGGACTTGTTGGAATTTTTGTTATGTGCAGCAAGATTGACTGTTGGAGGATCAATGACGGAGCCTGGGAAAAGCTGTGCAAGTTCAGCATTAATCACAACGGAAACTGCTTCATTGGGTGGAGTGAGTGGTGGAGTCATAAAAAGAGGTGTTGTTTTTGGAGTGGGTGGAATAACATCAGATGGATGAATGAAGAATCCAGGGGCAGCCACTGGGTTGGAAGGCACAGAGTTGTGAACAGGACCAACTGCTGATGCTGCAGCAGCTGCTGCAGCTGTTGTCTGATGTAACTTGGCTTCCAGCTTTGCTTTCTGTAAAAGAAGTAAAAGCAACAAATATAGACGGACCCTGTCTACCTGAGTTGTGGGAAACACTACATGGATATATATTATGAACATAAACAAGAATAACTAGATCTTCGTTAAATAAAAATGAAATTAAATCAAAACTGGACTCTATAAATGGAACACTAATTTGCTACATATACTTAACAAATATTTCATATAAAATTTCCTGTGTATTTTAGAACTAGGATTTTCTCAAAAGGGAAAAGGAAATAGAACAATTAAATATAAACAAGGAAACAAAGTTCTGCTCAAAACAAAATATTATCAAGAGGTGGATTATCATGTTGACTAACCTGACACAATTTGTCACCAGGAATTGCCACAGGTTTTACCACAATGAAATCTATAAAACATCTCTCATTATTTCTAAATTTTAGGTCATTTTAATTTAATTGATCTTTAAAATTTTTTTAGGTTCTACACTTCATGGAGATAGTAACTGGTAACTGTAATGTTTTACCTCGGGTGTTTAAACAGAGAATAGATTTTGCACAAAAAGTGTCAATCATAGGTCCCTCGAATATGAACCAAATAAAATGCATTCATGGAATCTTAACAGATTTAAATATATCACAAAAACTTTACCTCAATTTTTGTTGAAAATGATTAGCTCAGATCGATCAACCTACTTTCCTTTATGAAAATAATGATCATTTTTACAGTATTTTTTTTCAGCTTTTGAAGTTTAGAGACAGCATGAACAAAGAGCCAAATAGTCTCCAACCTGTTGCTGAAGCTTCAAAAGCTGCTGCTGTTTCTCTTGCAGCACCTGTAGCTGTTGCTCGGCTGAAGCCATTGCATGAGAGAGAGACTGCAAAGCTACCTGGGCTGCTGAAGTCAGGGCTGTCGAGGCTTCCCCAACTGTCCCAGATGATAGTCCACCTACTGCAGGAGTAACCCCAAAGGAACTCACTGGCATGAGGCAAGAGGGAAAAAAAAAACAACAACAAAAAAACACCAGGATGAAGAAAAAGTCCACAGAGAAAACATATTCAAATATTTTCACACTATTTTGACACTAAAACTATAGTTAATTTTCATTTTAAAAAAGGAATTTGGAACGTATAAAGAAATCTTCATGGTTAGAGTATAGTGACAATTCTAGTATTCAAAATCTAGGAAATCCAGCAATGACTCCTAAAGCACAGAAAATTAGAATCAGTATACTTTCAAGTTTACAAATATTTTTGGTATAGAAGAAATTTCACTTAATTTTATTAAAATTATCATTACAAATGAGAGTAATCTCAACACACAATTTTTAAATTTCAGAATATTATGGGGGTACAAATGTTTTGGTTACATGAATTCCTTTGTACAGTTTGAGTCAAAGTTATACGTGTGTCCATCACCCAGATAGTGTGCATTGTACCTGTTAGTTATACAATTTCAGCATAAGAAATAAATTTCCTTTCCTAAGTTTTCCTACAGTAACAACATGCCCCTCTCCACCCTCAAAAAAGTTCAAAAAAACCTTCAATATAAGGATATCATGTAAGAAGAGAGATCACACTTATTTCCTCACTTTAAAGCGCAGCCTACACAGAGGTAAGGCCTGCACAGAATATGTAAAGCAACGTTTCCTACCATATGCTCCCCAGAACACTGAACTGGAGAGAAGCACGTCCTACACACAGTTAAATCTAACATACACTGCTTTCCATGAACATTATCATCAGTAAAGGCTCTATGAAATCACGCAAGTTAAGAAACAGTGTTGACTTTCCTTTTCAATGTTATTCAAGTATACATTATAAAAGAACCCTTTTCCATTAAATATTTAGCAGCATTTATGACAAATATTTTGGGAAAAGCTGGGATAAAAACCTAATTTCACAACTTAATCCAACATGTCAGCACAAAACAAAAGGTAGAGGCCAACTCTACAGCATAAATATTTATATTATAACAGGACTTTACTAGAAACGTACATTAGGGAAAAGATAAATGCTATAATAGCAGATATTTAGTATTATACATGTGGTAAGTGTTTTAATGAATCACCGCATTCAACATACGAACAACCCTACGGGGTAGATATGGTAATTTCCTTTCTCAGTTAAGTAAAGAATGGCTCAGAGATATTATCCAGTAAACTCATAGTGGGAGAACTGGGATTAGGATCAAGGGCTATGTGAAGTCAAAGCCAATGCCAGGCCCAGTGTTAAGCATGGAACTTATTTAATCCTGGAAAGAGCAAAGTATTAGGTATTAGTTAGGCAAAATAATAGTTACTATTATATTATTATATGTATTAGGTACTATTATAACACCATTTTATAGATAATAAAACTAAAGCTGAGGGAAGTAATTTGCTCATAAATACTGGAAAAGGGGAAAAATCCAAGCAATCTGACAGCTTATCTTTTTAATGTCTAACAAAGGCTATATAGTGCCAGAATTCTAACTATTGAAAAATTAAGCTATAATAAACAAGATACCAATAACGACAAAAACTGTTCATAACCTCTTATAATTAAAAGTTTCTTCATGTAAAAAACAAACAAAACCACCATTCATTACAGTGCAGTCCTACCACCCTTCATTTAACACATTAACTGCCATGTAAGTTGTATTTAACTCATGCCAGTTTTGAGCCCAGGGCCTCATGAAGCAAAACCTGGGCAAAACCCTGCAGTTGGTTCATGAAAATCTTACTTGTTGATGTTCTTATCGTTACAATTAATACTGACATTTAATTCTAAAAATGTGGATTAAATTAATAGAAGTCAATAACAAATTTTTCATTAAATTAGAAAGGGCTGTTGTTTTCAAAGTTTTTATTCTATTTTTGTAATAAAACACCAAAGCAACAGCTATTAATTCCAACTCTCGAGGAGAAATTTTTAGACTTTACTAAAGCATTCATATTATGCTTCTATTTTTGGGTAATGTAAGCAATTTTCAATAGGGTGTACTTTTACACTTGACAAATTTTAAAACCTTATGCACCCAAATAATATTTATGGGAAAACCAATTAAATCACTACAAACACATCAAAGACATAAACAATCCAAGAATAATGAGCCATCTTGCTACTACAAAACTAAAACTCTTTTGTACAATCTAGTTTTCAATATCTGTTGCTTTTTCTGTACTAAGAAAGGCCTCACAAACTCTAGATATACAAAAAGAGAGAGGTGAGAATAAGACAAAGGTGACTATCACCATTTCTGCTCAATCACATATAGGAAATCCTAGGAAGTATGTTAGAGCAGGAAAAAGAAATAAAAGATACAATGATGAGAAAAAAAGTAAAACTCTCATTATTAACAAATGACATCATTGCAAATATTTAAAAATCCCAAAGAATCTACAAACTCTATAAAATTAGTAAGTTAATATAGCCATATCACCAAATGACATTAATGTATATAAACTAGTAATGAAAGAATGGAAAATAAGATTAAGAGCAATATTATTAATAATAGCATTTAAACAATATATAGGTATAAATGTAAAAAAGAGAGATGTGTAAAACATCTATGTTGAAAACTACAAAATATCACCCAAGAGAAATCAAAGACCTAAATATATTAAAGAATTATATACCTCCAGTGTATATTCTAGATGAAAAAGA